GCGACTTGAGTGTGAAACAATCGATAGAACTGTTTCCGCACATCGGAGGTACGTGAGCAAATCGGCGATCATCCCTTTTGCCAGTGGTGGCAGGGGGAAACACCCCTCACCATCCCTCATTAACAGATGAGCTTGGTAAAGGAGATACTCTACCCGATTCGTACCTTCCTCAAAATTGTTCGCTTTCTACTTTCTATACACAAATTTCACACTGCCTTATTATAACGGAGTTATCAACTCTTTACTTTACATTCATCTCATCATCTATCGTATAAAAATGTCCACTTTAATTCTGATATTTGATGTTAAGCATTTCCAACTACGAAAATAATCTATTTCCAAGAATGTTGTTGATTGTTCTGCAAAGAATTTCAAGAATGCAATATTATGTTTGTAAAAGCTTCTTTGCCTCTAAGTTTAAAGAAGGGGAATTATTCTAAAAAAAATTTGAGATCATTCTGAAGAAATTCTGAGAAACGTTCTTATCGAATTATCATAGTTATCTAACTAGATATATCAAAATTTAAACAGTTCAAACGCAGAATCAAATTCAAGCTCATAAAAAAATGGGAATTAATATTTGCTAGTCATCATGTATAGCGTAAATAAAAGTAAATTATTCAAATCATTTCAAATGCTCTTCACAGGAGATTCCGTTGTGAGATTCGATTAAATTAGATGAATTTATGAAATTTGATTTTAAGTTCCATGACATAAAAAGTTTATTTCAATATAAAACCGTATTTGAATTTCTAAGCTACCATATTATGGTTACTAATTTAGTATTTACAAGTCACTATTTGGTCACTATTTCCGTACTTTTAGTCACTAAAGTCTCGCATCAACACTACCAGCCCTGAATGAGGTTCGTGGATTTTCCTATGTTTCGAGGGGCGCATCCATTAGCTTGAGACTGAAGATAGTACCAGAGCTGAGCCAAACAGTTGAGCACGTTTCTTCGGGACCTTCTGGTCTTAGAGTTACTTCTATGGTATATCTCTCAAACGATTCTAACCCTTAATTTTGAAAACGCTTTACTGTGCTTAGTAACCATTGTAAACATGCGCTAATAATGTTATACAATGCATTTCTTCATTATTTATAAATGTGGTTCAAAATGAAAGTTTTCAAATAATTGATTCCATTCTGAAAAGCCTGAGAGATGCGAACCTCTTTGTGTAGTGTGAAAAAACGAACCGTGATAAAACCAAAATTCCACTGTTCTTCAATTTCATACTCAAGAAAATATTGAAGATTCCGAGGGACTTTACTATCAACGTCAGACCACCCTAATATATGAAGATTGTAAAATTCATCGGGTAACACCGGTGCGAAATTACAGTGTTGAGATTCTGCGACTTAAAAAAAAAACAAACAAAATTTATATAATTGTGAGACAAACAAACAACACAAACAAACAAACTGAGATTGAAATGAGAAGAAATTGCAAAACCTCAGAGTTTGAACTATTTTAAAAATTTTGGGAAATCATATATAACGATCTTGGATTTTGATTAAAAAAAAAGTATGTTAAACTTAGATATATTTGCAGCGTCGAGGACTAATATCAAATTTCAATATTTTGGAACTTGGTACATTTTTTGAGATCAGAGTCTACGGAAATTCTTAGATCCCAGAATTAGAAGACCAAGATTTGTTTTTGATGAGCCAAAGTTAAGAAATAAATTTAGCTTAGGATTTAGACTAAATTTTAGCTTAGGAAATAAAACAATTTTCACGATTTAATGACTTGGAATTCAAATTAAATTTTGGGACTTGAAAAATTGAATCTGCTATTGGTTGAAATATTAATTCTCAAGAAAATTGTTCGAGGAGCAAGCTTTAAAAAAAAAAATCTAAATTCATTAAAACTTATCTAAAGGTTCGAATCTTCCATTATGTTTTAATGCAGTTTCTTGGATGTTTTCAAAGTCTGAATATTTCTGTAAGTATCTATAATTGACGAGGAATTTTCTCCAAGTTTGTATAACATCCTGGTCTAAGAATCTTGAAATTTTAAAAAGTCACCGAATCTTGAAGATCTTGACTGCAATAATATTTTTTTAGGTCTGCAATTCCGAAATACTTTTCCTGGAACTTATTTTTTTAATTAAAGGAAAACATAATAATATCAGTCTTCACCATCCATCATTTGGGACTCATAACTAAACAACCCAATATCGTTAGATCTAATGGCCATCGAATAAATGCTTGTTTATGCAACTAAAGGGTGTTACGATCAAAATTTGTTCAAACAAGTATGCGTGTAAATTGATTAAATGCTTTATTAAAAAAAATCAAATTATTTTTTTTTTTCTTTTTTAAGTTCAATTTGTATAAAATACAGAAGTAATATTCAGCTTGGCTTCCGGTTCACTAAATTTGAATTGATGAGCCGGATTTCGTTTAACTCCTGCCATCAGATTCTGTGGGTAGTTTGCCTTAAACTGCTAATTGCTTTCAAAAGTTTTTTTTTTGGTCTTCTTCAGGTTCCGCTTGACGATGGCCCAATATTTTTCGATCGGGTGGAGCTCTGACGTGTTGGAAGGGTTCGTGTACTTGGGCACCACCTGCACGTTGTTGGCAGCATGGCCTTTTTCGGTAATGGCAGGATGCCAACTCCGACCAAAACAGCATGAAACAATCGTGTTGCTTCAGGAAAGGCAGCAGTTGTTTTTCCAGACACTCGTTCATGCTAATTTCCTGGTTGACGGTCCCGGTTGCAATGAAAATGTTGCTTTTCAAGCCACAGATAGTCTGCTAAACCAGATATTTCTTATTCCAGTTCCATATGCTTGAAAATGTCTGTCACCTTTCTCCTTCCGGTTTCCGTATAAAACTCCTGCCATGAAGCTGTTTGAAATATGCCTTGACGTAGGTTTCGTCGTCCATTACCACGCACTCGAACTTCGTCAGCATTGTCGTGTTAAGCTTCGAGGATCGTGTTTTGGTCGTCTGGTGTTGTTTATCGTCGTGATGTCATCAAGTTCTTATAACTCGCCAGCTCGGCTCGTTTTTTAGCTCGTTGCACGGTTGTAGACGACACTCCCACCTTGTTTGCGACATCTCGAACGGAGAGGTTGTGGTTCCGCTTGAAACCACTCCAGGTTTTCAATTCCCCCGATCCAGGCATCCTGGCTGTTGACAAACGTTCCCCGAACACTGTTACGACGTTGTTGATTTGGCCACTTTTAACGATTTCGCCTATTCGGCGTCCGAATAGTTCGGATTTTTGCGATGCGCGTGCAAAACTTTGATGGGTTGCTTCTCTTGCTTGGACTCCATTTTGATAACTGAAGAGCAAATTTCAATATTTAAATATAGGCATCATTTGCACGCACACACCTTCAAAATGAGGGATGTTCAGGTTTATTAAATGCTCGATTAAAAGAAATGCGTCAAGTTTAAGTCGACCAAATTTTGATCGTAACACCCTTTAAATCCAATTTCGATGTCTGAGACCTTGAAAAAAAATAGATTTGGAACTTGAACGTTTGTCAAGAATATGGAACTAACAAAACAAACATATCAGGTATACCATTTGATAACGGCACAAAAGCATTTGTGAACAAACTTTCTTAGGCCCTTTGCACGCGAACCAAAGTACGCTCACGCAAACCAACGACATCATCGGATAGCCACAACTATCACTTTTCCGAAGATGGTATTGGATTGCGTGGGCGTACTTTGATTCGCGTGTAAAGGGCCTTACAAAGTTTGTTTACAAATGCTTTTGTGCCGTTATCAAAAGTTATGCCTGATATTTTCTTGCTGAGCGGTCGCCTTCTGTCCCCCTCTAGCTACGCATATGAACGCACGTCACTCAAAGACTAAGTAAATTTTCCTTGATTTCCCCCTAAAATCTGCTTGAATAAAGGGAGATGGATATCCTTAACATGGAGAATATAGTACAAGAAATGTGAAGAGACGAGGACACGTGGAATACCGTCAACAAGACTGTAATACAAAATATTGGCAGAGCTGCAGCGAATGTGGAGAAACGATCAGCGAACGATCAACGCCGGCTAGTTGAGCTAAATAGAAGTGCCCGGAAATTTTTTGCCGAAATTTGCACAGCCAAGCAAGTTGCAAACAAACAAATTTGACTGACATCTCAGAGTGTTCCGCTTAATCTTACCAAGAAAATGTAATTTATAAAAAAAATATCGTCCATTCGGCAAATCTCGTCGAAAATTTCCAAGATAAGGAAAGCACAACATTGAGATGTCTTTTATTTAAAGAAACAATATTGTTACTATTGGGCTCAGTCATTGCACTCGAGTCACCACGAGTCTATTTTTTCAAACATCCAAAGAACATGTTCAACATTTGCCAGAAGTTCACCTGTTCTGGTGTCTTGTTTCCGATGGCACCTCTTTTGTTAAATCCGCTAAACCATATCTTTCGCGTCGTATCGACATCGGAACTAGCACCTCGTTCGCTGAAAAAAAAGAAGCAAAACGCCGGACAGAAAAGCCATTCACGTCTCATCAACTTCCGCTTCGTTATATTGACCTCCTCACCTTTTAGCTGCTTTGGGTTTACTTTGGGTTTCCTTCCGATATTTTTATGAATGAAATGATTCGTGGCTTCCACCGAATTCTGCAACCGCGTCACTCACAGTGAGACCAAGCGCAGGCGGCAAGGTGGTGTTATCGATAATCAATCAGTACCTTTTCCGTCCGTGTCGGTTGTCCGTTACGTGATGGCTGTGCGGAGGTGGCGCCTTAGTGAGGAAATCTCAATTGCCTCACCTCGGTATGGCACGTGCGTTGTTGCACTTTATGCAATAGTAAAAATGAGAATTAATGAAAATGGATTTATCGTGCTCGTGGACATACCAGCAGCCAGCGTTGTTGGATTATGCGTTTGCTATGCAAATTGTATAAACGGAGCTTCCGTGAGAGCAACTTGCATGTTAATGGCTTGACTTAATATTTCTGTATGATTTACATCCATAATAGATTTTTAAAATACTGTTCATTGTATTCTTATCCTAGGTTGCCTGATGAGACCGGTTGGATTATCGCTGCCGTATCTGCTCTTCCTATTCGGTTTACCATTTGTGCCAGTAGCTACGCCAAGGAGTATAAAAGGTAGGTGTCCAGAAGACTTGCTTGATTTTGTGCAGATCGTTAAAACGTTCCATAACATTTCTAGGTTCTACAGGAATCTATTTTAAGACTTACATAACCCTCAGCATATTGCTGTTAGTGGGACAAATAACCTTCCAGATAGTGTTGATTACACTCGGTGATCAGCTGATCGAATCGTGTCAATTTCTGGAGGTTCTGCTGCGCCACGTTGGGCTGGTGAAGTTCCAAGGTCTTGATGCAGCGGTTGTCATCTACTGGATATCGCCGGAGATCATCATGAGTCTCACGGCGGTGATAGTGTATGTGATATTGAACAAGTTGGCCGATGGAAACATCGGAACTGAGCAGGCTCCTACCTCTCCGAGCTCTCTGGAAGCGCCGGAAGTGCTGTCACTGCGATGTGACCCCAATCCAGTCACCAGAGAGAAGCTTGCATTTCTCACCAAGCTGGGCGTACTGCTTAGCGTGGGAATGCTTTGTCTGGCGGCCGTCCTTCAGCCTTCCGTTCCCAGTGGGGTCTATTTTGTAATATTTTTAGGATCCGCCACCTGGTGGGCTTGTTATAAGGAATTGGATAGGTATTACCATGGCAATTTGATCGACTAGGCAAACATAATGATATACCATCTCATTTCCACAGAGCATTTGGCATAGTTTTAAGGATAACCCTAGTGTTTTTAATTCTGCACGTAACCGGTTTCCTGGCGTACCAGAATCCGTGGCCACAGGAACTGCTACCGGCGAATGAAACGATTGCTCGTATTTTCGCACTAACGCCAATCATATCCTCCAGCTGCGACAATTTGACCGACATTCGTTTCGTGTACTTCGACAGCGATCTAGGCTCCGATTACTACCTCAATCCGGTTGTACTGCTGCTGTGTTACTATTGTATATCAATCACCTCATCGCTACTTATGAGACCAAGAGTGAGTATTGCTGGAAAGAAAAATGCTATTCGTTTAATTTGATTCAGCTAACCAAGACAACACTAACCCTCCGGTAATCGGATTAGGATCCCACCGCAGTAGTTCCCTTAGATATTTTGTTCTAACCTTAGGATTGTAACTAATCACCCAACTAGAGTGAATGCGTTCCTAACAACCAGCTGCTAACGTTTCTAACTAATACTTTCTTTTTATATCGAAAAATTGCGCTTTGTCTCTTCAAAACTAATCAAATCCTCACGTGGCTGCCAAACTGCAAACCCCACTCATCCTATGAAAAAAAAACACCGCATCCCGAAAAATTGGCCCCCATAACCCCACATGCAATCACCATCCCCCTTCGTATGCTAAAAACTGCTGTTGCCGCTGCCGTTGCGCTAATTGCTTGTTTGCCCCGGAACCAAGATGACGGACAAGGAAATCAAGCGCCAGGAGCTTTTCTACCAGCTCGAAAGTGGTGTCCGTCTCCAGCGTCAGATCTCGTTTCGCATGCATAGAAAGAACATCCTCCGCAAGACGCTGACCAGCGACCGGTGGCGGGGAGCTGCGCGTAAAGTGAAAGTAAGCTTCCGTTTCCTGGTTTTACTCCTGTCATGTATCCTTCTTCTTCTTAACGGATCATTCCGGTTTCGCTCTTTATTAGATTGATTTTCCTCCTTTCTTCGGTTTGGCTTTCCATATTCCCTTGCTCTTGTGTAGTGAAATAGAGTGGTTTTCGAGTGTCGCACGGATTGTCCTGTTTGTAGTTTATTTTCAATTCACCCCGCAACCTTTAGAGGAGAGAGCATGCTGCTAATAATGGATAAGTTGCAATTCAAATGTCATTGATTTTCCGCGCGCATGATGAAAGTTTTGCATTTCCTAACGACCTGGTTCGGAATGGTTCGAGCTCGAGAGGCAGTGCAACTGGGCAACTAAACAACAACAACAACAAAAACAACAAGGTAGGGACGCAATTTTGACGCTGTCTGTTTGTTAGATTGACGGGACACGAAGAATCGTCGGGTGATGCGCTTCCAGGTGTTTGTGGACTTTGAAGTGATAATATGCACCGAAATGCTGGGGAAAGACAGAAAGTTGCAATTTTGTTTGTTCATTCTATACGGAAAGAAGGTGCTGGGGTAGAAAGTGATTCCTATGGGTTTCTTTATATTAATGCTTTTGATTTTTTTTTTTTATAAAATGAATATCTATGAAAACTAACAATATCAATGCTTTTTGTGACTTGTCGTGTTTTTAGAATCGATTGGCAGGAATGACGTGATAGTTTATTTACAGTTTAAAGCAGCATTTCTCGAACTAAACACTAAGATTTTGTTTCCGTATTCGGTAAATTTTACCGAAATTAGAACAGCTGAAATTTCGGTAAAACTTTGACCTTCATTTTAAAGGCTATTGAATTTGAAAATAATATCAAAACATGTTCAACCTTGTTTAAATGATCAAATCTTGCAATTTTAGTGGAGATTTAGTTTCAAAGTAGCTGAAAAGCAATTGAATTGAATTGCATAAATTTTACCGAAAAGTTCAGCTGTTCAGACTTCGGTAAAATTACCGAAGTCGGCAATAATTTCTAAGTGTGTATGGGTCGTGGTATTCAAACAACTTGGTCAGAAGCGTTAAAATTTTCCTACACTAATTTAAACGTCTCAACGGATTTTTACCCTTACATAGGGAAAATGGATGTAATGTCGCCCTAAATGCCCTTATTTTAGCCCATACATAAATTCAGCAATCGACTAAATTTTCAAAAGCGACGAAAAATAACCATTAGCACCGTCCCAAGGCGCGTTCATCTAGATAAAATTGATAAATAGCAGATTTTTAGCTATGATCCCAATCTTAGATCCATAGGCCAACATTAGAGACATTTTCCCTATGTGGGCGTTAAAAAAAAAAAATAAAAATCATTTTCGTGTGACTAAATTTACATTAATAACATTAACTTTCAGATCATTTTTGAGATCGCAATGTGGCATTGTGGCATTTTGATGTCATTTTGAAAAATTCGAATTTTATTTTCTTGGGCTATTTTTGACGTCCAAAGACGACCATTGTGACGTTTCAAGATTATGATGAGATTTTTTTTTTTTAATTTATGTATTAATAGTTGTCTGGTTGATTTAGAGCAGCGCCGCGGGTCGGACGTGGTCTGCTGGATCTCAGCAATGATATCATTATTGTCTAATTTTATTCATCATTATGAATTTTAGTCCAAATAGAATGTGAAATAAACAAAATATTGCTCGAAACATGTTCATCGAACCATACAACCATTTGAAAAAGCAAGTTTAGAAAGGTTGGGCAGGACTGGTTTAGGGGATTTAAGGTCATTTAAGCATTTTTCAAATCTATTGAAGGTCATTTTTACTAGTGCAAGCTCTTTCGGAAATTCTAAGCTAATTGCGAGGCAATTGTTTGGTGTTTTGTTGTTGCGTTTATTTTGGTTTTTTTTTTAATTTTATTGAGAGTATTCAGAACGTTTTATCGTTTTCCAAATAAACTTTAGCGTTTTTTGTGATTGGGACCATTTTTTTAGTTTTTATACTACTCTCTTTTTTTATGACTTCTTATGACAAGTGTTTTTGCAACTTTCAGACTTTTTTTGAACTAATTTGGCGTTTGAGCGCAATTTTGTCGTTTGAACTTGCTTCAATGCTATTTTGTTTATGGATTTAAGGTAATCATGCAGTTTCGATTTGTATTTTTTTTTTCTTTTTAAACCCAATTCGCAATTTTGAAGGTTATTTTGATCTTCTAACATATGTATTCAATATTCGTAGGTCTTGAGCAGTGATGGCATAATTCTCACTCAAATGATTTTGTTTCGCTCCCAAGGGCTCCCAATATCACGCGAGATATTGGAATAAAATATCAATCATGATTTGATTTTATAAGCTCCTTTGATATTGCGAGACTATTCAGAACATGTAAAATTATTGCTATGAGTTGACTTACCACAACAATCATTCCGTTGCTCATCGTATTCTTAAAAAGAGAAAGCATATCCTGCTATCCCTCTTTACTCTTCACAGATTGCAGATACGAAGTTACTGCTGCCAGCAGTGATGGAAGTTTCGGTTCGTGTTTGGGTGTACATAAAAAATCTTGAAGCTCAAACTCACCACAGTTTGGTGAGAATTGTTGCTGGTGAGTTTTGTTTGCTTGATATCAGAGCAACCGTATCATAGCTTTTAATATCATCCGCTGTTGTCTGCTTGTTGATTTTTGTTTACGATACTCAAATGAGATTATGTTCATTTATGAGATTTGATCTTTTGATATTTTCTCAACACTGGTCTCGAGCGTATGGAATTTCTCAAAGTGGGTCACAGTTAACACAAGTTTAAGAACCACTGGTCTAAAGTATTCTTATGCAAAATTGTAAATAAATTCAATGGGGAGGTTCGTGAAAAAATATGCTAAATAGGATGGAAAATGGCTTCAGCCTCCGAGACCTTATTCCAAGCATAGGGTAAATAATAACTTGCAACGCTCATATTTTGCAGTATGATGCTTCACATCGTAGAGCATGTTTTTGATCGATTTCTGGGGGACCTGAACCCAGTTATAACTGATACTGAAAATCATAATTGATTCACCTTACATAATTTTTTTTTTTTAATTTGGAATTAACGAAATTACGAGGCATTTTATCAGAAATTCAGTACATGTAATGTATTATAAAAACATTCTTAAAAAAAAATTTGAGGGGGAGGGTGAAGCCAGTTATAATTGATCCACCCTAAATAAATTTGATTAGTTTTTTTTTTTTTGAAAGCGACGAAGTTACGAGGATCAGAAATTCAGGACATTTAGGACATGTTTATGTATTATGAATACATGCTTTAAAAACTGTTTTGTTTATGAATTAGATAATTTTTGACTGTATGGAACATCTTTGGGGTGTTCATAAACCATGTAGGTACCTTAGAGAAGGGAGGGTTTGTGAGTGTCTACGATGTCTAGGTGTCATTAGAAATTCCTTCTATGAAACTCTTAGGCTGTGAACCATTTGCCGAGTTAAATTTAGCTCGTGGTTAAAAGTGACATATTGAAAGATCAAAGTTTTTTATGTTCAAAAATCCCTGTGCTGTCGAACGACCGGTTGTTGAGAAGAGCTTAGCCAAGGTTGTCAAAACTTAACTTCTTGTCTGTCAGAAGTAACCACGCTCGGATAGAAGGGTTAATCGATAACTTTCCATCTGTCAAATTTAAAAAAAAAGTTAAATAATCCACTAAATGGTGCAGAGCATTTGAATTCCAGGGCTGTTAAAACAGGCGCGGATTTCGCGATATTCGCGGATTTGAACGCAAAAATCGCGAAAACATTAAATGATGTCGCGAAAATCGTGAGGGACTGATGTGCTGTCACACAAATTGTGGAATTCATTGTAACCTTTCCATCCCGAATTATTTTGCTGTCATCAATTTTGTTGTTCATTTAGCTCTCAATTTTTTACCGGTTCAAACCAAACACCCTGCAAATAATCGATAAATGATCTCAATTCCATAAGTCACACCGGACTCACACGGAAATTCCCTGGGGTCTGTCCAATGTGCGACATTTTCATGGTTTTTTTTTTTATTTTCAATACGAACATAACGTTTTTCGTTATCAAATCATAAACGAATCGTATATATGTGAGTAATTGTTATGTATACCAGATATTCTAGGTTCCCTAAACCGTCCTGGATTTCAGTTGATTTGTTCTACTATAACAACCAAGACTGCAATAATGTATGTAGTATCGAAATATGTCCAAACAGATTCAAAGTGTATATGTGGATCGTTTCCGACCTATAGCTACGTATACAAGATGTTATAGGTTCTGAAATCATTCTGGAGATCAGATTATTTTTCTACTAGATCACCAAAGACTTATTCATTATCTGTAGCATCGAAATATGTCCAAACAAATTTCCAGGTCAATCCTTTAAATTTGTCGAACCTTTTAATGGAATCCCTTTATGAAGAACTTTGAGTGGGTCTACAGTGAACCGCAACGAAAAAAATCCACCAGAATCATTATCAACATGTTTACTCAAACCTAACTATAATTATCATAAAAAAAAAACTTTTATGTGAAATCAGGTATTAAGAAAAAGAATAGAATATGTTTTAATTCATTTATTCAAAAATTCACTTTCTTATAACGTTTTGAAAGAAAAAATAAAAAAAAAATGATAAGACAAGAAAAAAAAATCCACTTCGTAAATCCAACAAAAAAAAAAAAATCATCGCATTATCGTTTTGCGACCTTTAGTACCCAGTATGTCCACCATGAGCTTCAAGCACCTTCTGAAGACGTTTTGGCATGCTTTCCACCAAATTCTGCAGATGTAGATGGTCAATACTGCTCCAGGCTCGAGACAAGGCTGAAAAGTACGTGTCCTTGTTCGTAACACCAGTCTTATCAACCTCATTATACAGAATTGCCCATAGATTTTCAATAGGGTTCAAATCTGGGCTTTGGGCAGGCCACTCCAATGGTTTGATCCGCTTGGATTTGAAGAAAGCCTTCATTTTTTTTGGCAATATGCTTCGGATCATTATCTTG